AAAAAAAAAAAAAAAAAAAAAGAAATCCATTCCTGCTCCTAAGTCATTGAAATCTTCGACTTTTTTTCTATTAATTTTATAATTTTAACCTTCACATAACAGATTTCTTATTTATGTACAGACTTTCTGTGTGGTGTAGGTAGGAATCCAGCTTTATTTTTCTCCACATTTCTCAAGACTGTTTACTAAACAATCTGTCCTTTCCGTATAGGTTACTAACTTTATTATATATTAAGATTCCATATGTACATGGGTTTATCTCTGCATTCTGTATCCATTGGTCTGATTGTCTGCTCTTATGTAAACACTGCATTGTTTTTGTTAGTATAATGTCTGTACTATATTTCAGTATTTGATAAGACAGGTTCTTCTTTTCTTTAAAGTTAACTTAACTATTTGTAGACTTTTTAAGGTTTTAGATTTTTTTGTTTTTTGTTTTTTTTTTTAGTTGGAGTCTCACTCTGTTGCCCAGACTGGAGTGCAGTGACCGCTCCTGGCCACTGCAGCCTTGACCTGCTGGGCTCTGGCGATCCTTCCGCCTCAGCCTTCCAAGGAGCTGGAACTACAGGCACGCACTACCACGCCCTGCTAACTTTTTGATTTATTGTAGAGATGAGGTCTTGCCAAGTTGCCCAGGTGGGTCTCAAACCCGCGGGCTCAGGCAATCCACTCACCTCGGCCTCCCAAAGCGCGGGATTATAGGCTGAGCCACTGAGAAGTTTTTAGTTTAAACTAAGCTTTTGAGTTTCTAAAAAATTTAACCTGAATGTGTATTGAGATTGCATTAAATGTATAGCTAATTGAAGAGAATTGTCAGTTTTATAATAGTAAGTAATTCTTTCTAATTATGTAAATAGATTCCATATATTCAGATTGTTTTCTGTGTCCTTTATTAAAATTTTACATTTTTCCCAGTTGATATCTTCTTTTCTCAGTTAAGTTATTAATTCTCAGAAACTTTCAAGTTTGTGTTGATACTGTGATGGCATCTTTTTTGGAGTTATAGGCATGTATCACCATGCCTGGCTAATTTTTTAAATTTTTTGTAGAGTTAGGTGGGAGTCTCGCTACATTGCCCAGGCTGGTCTTGAGCTTTTGACCTCAAGCGATTCTCACACCTCGGCCTCCCATAGTGCTGAGAGTATAATCATGAGCCACTGTGCCCAGCCAATATCTTATTTTTGTTATATTTTTATTTGGTTATTTCTGGTTATTCTAGAGAAATGCCATATTTTTGTTGTTGTTGTTGTTCTTGGATATTGTTCCTCTGCTGAACTTTCTTAGTCTAATGTTGTGTGATTTCTTTTGTTTTTTTTCTAAGCAGATCATCATATCTATGAATAATGACAGTTTTATCTTAACTCTTCCCATTTTTTCACCTCTTACTCCATTTTCTGTTCATGTACACATAAAAAAATTGGTTAAAATGGTAAATTTTAGGTTATATACAACCATTTTTAGGTACACAATTTACCATTTTTAGGTATAAATTTCAGTGGCGTTAAGTTCCTTCACATTATTGTGCAGTCATCACCACCTTCATCTCCAGAACCTTTTCATCTTCCCAAACTAAAACTCTGTACCCATTAAAGCAATGACTCCTCTTTCCTCCCCTCATCCCCAGTCCTGACAATGACCATTCTGCTTTGTGTGTCTGAGTGTGAGTACTCTAGGTATCTCATGTTGGTAGAATTATACAATATTTGTTCTTTTGTTCTGGTTTATGCTAGTTAGCACAATGTCTTCAAAGTTCATTCATGTTGTATCATGTGTCAGAATTTCATTCCCTTTTAAGGCTGAATAATACTCCATTGTGTGTATATACCATGTTTTGTTTATCCATTCATCCTTTGATAGGCATTAGGGTAGATTTCACCTTTTGACTATTGTGAATCATGCTTCTGTGAACATTAGTGTATAAGGTTTTTGTGTGGGTTTATATTTTCATTTCTTTTGAGTATATGCCTAAGAATAAAATTACTAGGTCATATGATAACTCCATGTTTAAACTTTTGAGATCTGAATTTTTCCAGGTTTTTTTTTTTTTGAGTCAGGATCACACTTTGTTGCCCAGGCTGCAGTACAGTAGCACAGTCACAGCTCACCACAGCCTTGACCTCCTGGTCTCAGGCGATCCTTCTGCCTTGGCCTCCCCAGTAGCTGGGACTACTAATTTGGGGTTTTTTTTTTTTGTAGAGACAGAGCCTAGCTATGTTGCTCAGATTCCTGGGCTCAAGCAATCCTCCTGCCTCAACCTTCAGCATGGGCAACAGAGTGAGACCCCAACTCAAAAAATAAAACTGTATACAAAGTAATAAACAAAAGTGATTTTTAAAAAACTAAAAGACTATAGATTGGAGTACTAGAGTCTTATAATTGTAGACTATTGGGTATCTTTTTTCTCATGTTACATTTTTCTGTAATATACCTGTTTCAGTATTTAAATTGGTTTGTATTTTAAAGCCATTTATTACTACTCTTCAGCTTCTTTGGAACAGAAAGAATGCTTCTGTTTCCCTCTCAGGTCAAAGAACTAGAGCAGACCCTGCAGGTCTCCGAGGAGCAGCTGCAGCAGAGCAGGGACATCGTTGCTGCACAGGAAGCTCAGCTTCAGGAGCTTGTAAGTGATTATTTGAGCTGCTATGCTCCAGGCCCTCGGTGCTTCCCCTTGAAGTCTTTGCAGATGCCTGAAACTCCCTCCCAACTTCAGCAGTAGTGTCTGGACCTGACATTAGAGACACTTGTGCTGGGTGTGAGCAGATGTGCAGCACTGTGCTAAGTGCTTTGCACATTCTTGTGTAGTCCTTGCAGCAGACCTAAGAGGGATGCTCTGTGATCTTCATTCTGTAGAGGAGCTAAGCTCAGAAGGATTAGGTCCTAGGGCACGGGCTCACAGCCAGTATATGGCAGAACCCATATATCATGACAAAGCCCTTCTTCTTCACCACTGCATTGTACTGCCTACGCAGGGGAAAGCCTTAGCCACAGAGGCAACACAGAGAGTAAGAAGGAGGCCTGTGTCTGTGGACTGGCTGGTGCCCAGAGCTGTCTCCACATACTCTGAGGATGAAGTGATAACATCAAGACCAATGTCAGACTCCATCTCCCAGAGCAGGCCAGGGTGCAGAAGCAACAGGCAGAAGCTTCAGGGGGATCTCAGCAACACCAAGGAGGAGAAGGTCAGGAAGCAATGTTGTTTCTGTTGGACACCATCTTTGTATCACTATACTGACTAGCTGTCCTCTGGTATCTCCGCAGGCCACCACCACCAAGGAGGGCAGCTGTGCACAGCAGCAGATCCTCACTCTGGAGCAGCAGTGCACAGAGCGCACCCATGCCCTGGAGGCCCAAATCACTGCCCTTGAGAGAGCAAGGGTGGCTGACCAAACTGCCGCAGAGCACAGGATGGTGAGTGAAGTTTAGAGCAAGGCTGAGCACAGGAGCCCAAGGTTCACACACAGTGACATCTGCCGTGTGCATGACAAACAGTCCCCTCTCTGCACAAGAGAATCACCTTAGAGAGCAGTTCTTTTCTCTCCAGACACCTGCACGTGAGACTGGACGTAAAAATTCTACTTATTCCAAAACCCCAAAATAGTGGGCTTTTTCCCCTTGGGTCCCACAGGAACTTCCTAGTACTTTCTCAGTATTCCTCTCAGCTTCTTCTCATTGTCTTTAAAAATTTATATTGCTCCTCCCCAATGGCTTCTTCCTTTCTGTGGTTCCTCTCCCTGCTCCACAGTCTTGAGAATCCTGTGCCTCGTTCCTTCTACTAAGGAATTTTTCTTACCTTCATTCTCATTTCCCACCCTGTAGTGACACCCCCCCGCCTTATTCTGCAAAGGGCATTCCAAAGGTACCTTGTCATAGAGATGGGACTGTGCCCAAGGAAGTATGGTAGTTAAGACCTTTTCTTTTTATATATATTCTTCTGAATTTGCAGAGAGAACTGGAGCAAGAAAATGCAGCCCTTAAAGAAAGTAGGAATGAATATGAACATTCTTTACAGCATCACCAATTTGAACTAAAGAAGCTACAGGTATTATCTAATTGAGTCAGAGTTTCACATAAGTGTTCATATCTTTTACATGTGTAGTTGGAGTGGCCAAGTGAAAAGTCTTATAGTTGGATGGGAGGAGTGCCACTAACATTTGTTCAGTAGTTCTGTTAGGCATTTGCTAGAAGTTGTTACTTCATTAAGGCCTCTCAGGGATCCAAGAGAGTAGGGAGAATTATGTCATTTGGCAATTAAAGTTATTGAGGTTCCTAGTGGAAATTATTTGTCCAAGTTGCATAGTCACTTTGAGGTGGTGCAGGTCTGATGTCACTCCATCACAGAAGCCCAGCCCTTGCTCTGTGTCATCAACAGCTGCCTGAAAATCATGCTGTCAAAGTACTACTGGCTGATTTTTTCAGGATGACCTTAAAGCAATGCCTTAAAAGATCATAAGGACCTTTGTTTTATTTGTTTTTGTTAGGAACTGTGTACAGAAGTGAATAAACAGCCGGGCTCGGTGGCTCAGCCTGTAATCCCGCGCCTTTGGGAGGCTGAGGTGAGTGGATTGCCTGAGCCCGTGGGTTCGAGACCCGCCTGGGCAGTGAGACCTCATCTCTACAATAAATCAAAAAATCAGCCGGGCGTGGTAGCGCATGCCTATAATTCTGGCTACTCGGAAGGCTGAGGCAGAAGGATCACCAGAGCCTAGCAGGTCGAGGCTGCGGTGGCTGGGAGCGGCCACTGCACTCCAGTCTGGGTAACAGAGTGACACGCCAACTCAAAAAAAAAAAAAAAAAGAAGTGAATAAACAACCACTGGCTTGTTACCATTTCACTTCTGCAAACATGGTGCTTTAACTCTTTCATTCCCAGGCATTAGAAAGTTTCCTAGAAAAATATTTTTTAAAAATAAAGTATCTTGTGAAGCCATGGAAGGTTTTAAGCAGAGACGTGACATGAGTTTTGTTATAAAAGGATTTCTCTGGCTCCTTGTGGAGAATGTTCAGTAAAGGGAGGCACAGACAGAAGTAGGAAGACCATTTACGAGGCTTTTTAGGAATCCAGGCCAGGGGTGACTAGCATGTTAGTGGTGGACTTGGGAATAAGTATTCAGATTCAGGATTTATTTAGAGATGAAGGTTTTAGGACTTGCCACTGATTTAGTGGAGGAATGAGAGGAAAAGGAAATGGATATGACTCCTAGGTTTAGTTTGTATAATTTAGGGTTTCTCACTCTCAGCACTCTTGACTTTTTGCTGTTGTTGTTTTGTTTTGTTTTGTTTTGTTTTTTTGAGTTGGAGTCTCACTCTGTCACCCAGACTGGAGTGCAGTGGCCGCTCCCGGCCACCGCAGCCTCGAACTGCTGGGCTCCGGTGATCCTTCCGCCTCAGCCTTCCAAGTAGCCGAATTACAGGCACGCGCTACCATGCCCAGCTGATTTTTTGATTTATTGTAGAGATGAGGTCTTGCTGCCCAGGTGGGTCTCGAACCCGCGGGCTCAGGCAATCCACTCACCTCAGCCTCCCAAAGGCGCGGGATTATAGGCTGAGCCACCAAGCCCGGCTCACTTTTATTTTTTTAGAGACAGGGTTTTACTCTGTTGTGTAGACTGGAGTGTAGTGGCAAGATCTTAGCTTCAAACTCCTGAGCTCAAGTGATCCTCTCACCTCAGCCTCCTTAACAGCTAGGACAACAGGTGCATACCATGTTGCCCAGCTAATTTTTAAATTTTTTTAGAGATGAGGTCTCACTGTTGCTGGCCTCACTCAGCCTCAAGTGATCCTCCTGAGTTGCTGGGATTATCAACATGAGCCAACTATTGACATCTAAAGCTAGACAATTCTTTGTTGTGGAGGGTGGTTTGCTGCAAGTACACATTGTAGGCTGCTTAAGCTGCTTTAGAGCATCTACCCACTAGATGTCAGTATCAACCCCTACTTATGACAACCAAAATGTCTACAGACATTGCCAAATGTCTCCTGGGGGCAAAATTGCCCTGGCAGAGAATCACTGGGGTAACTGAATGAATAGTGGTACCATTCACTGAGATGAAGGTCCAGGGAGATATGTCAGGAGTAGATTCCACCAGGCATGGTGGCTCATGCCTATAATCCCAGCACTTCAGGAGGCAGAGGTAAGAGAAATGCCTGAGCTCAGGGGTTTGAGGCCAGCCTGGGCAACTTGGCAAGACCTCGTCTCTATAATCAATTTTAAAAATTAGCCAGGTGTGGTGGTGCGAATCTGTTTCCAGCTCCTTGGAAGGCTGAGGTGGGAGAATCACCTGAGCCTAGCAGGCCGAGGCTGCAGCAGCTGTGAGTGTGCCACTGCACTCTACCCTGGGTGACAGTGAGACTCCTACTCAAAAAAAGAAAAGAAAAGAATAGATTCCATTTTGGACTGGTTTAGCTTCTGAGGCCTACCTAGGTGGACATATCTAGTAGTCTGTTGGCTAATAAGTCTGGAAATCAGTGCTCAAGGTAGAATTTAAATTAGAAAACCACTAGGTACCGTGGCTCATGCCTGTAATCCCAGCATTTTGGGAAGTGGAAGTGAGAGGATTACCTGAGCCCAGGGGTTCGAGACTAGCCTGGCAATTTAGCAAAACTTTGTCTCTACAATAAATAAAAAAATTAGATGGGTATGGTGGCACGTACCTATAATTCTGGCTACTTAGAAGACTGAGGCAGGCCAGGCTCGGTGGCTCAGCCTATAATCCCAGCACTTTGGGAGGCCGAGGTGAGTGGATTGCCTGAGCCCCTGGGTTCAAGACCAGCCTGGGCAACTTGGCGAGACCGCGTCTCTACAATAAGTAAATAATTAGCTGGGTGTGATAGTACATGCCTGTAGTTCCAGCTTCTTGGAAGACTGAGGTGGAAGGATTGCTGGAGCCCAGCAGGTCAATGCTGGGGTGGCCGCAAGCATGCCATTGCACTCCAGCCTGGGCTATGGAGTGAGACTCCAACTCCAAAAAAAAAAAAGAAGGCTGAGGCAGAAGCATCACCTAAGCCCAGCATGTCAAGGCTGCAGTAACTGTGAGCGTGCCACTGCACTCCAGCCTGGGGGACATAGTGAGACTCCTACTTAAAAAAAAAAATTAGAAAACCATAAACATAGCCCATAGGTAGAATTTATAGCCAAAGGCCTGTGAATGAGTGCAGATAGAAAAGAGGGCCAGGCTGGGCTCGGTGGCTCAGTCTGTAATCCCAGGACTTTGGGAGGCCGAGGCTAGTGGATTGCCTGAGCCTGCGGGTTCGAGACCTGCCCAGGCAACTTGGCGAGACCTTGTCTCTACAATAAATCAAAAATTAACTGGGTGTGGTAGCGCATGCCTGTAGTTTCCACTACATGGAAGAGTGAGGCAGAAGGATTGCCGGAGCCCAGCAGGTTGAGGTTGCAGTGGCAGGAAGTGTGCCACTACCCTCCAGTCTGGGCGATGGAGTGGGACTCCGACTCAAAAAAAAAAGAAAAGAGGGCCAAAGGGGAAGGCCAGAGTCAATCTAGCATGTAGATGTTCGGGACAAAAGGAGGAGCCAACAGAGAAGATACCAAAGGTGCTACAAGTGTGACAGCAGCAAAATCAGGAGAGTGTTGAGTTCTAGAAATAAAGGTAGAGAGTATGACAAGAAGGACTGAGTGGTGAACTATGTCAGATTATACTGACTGGCCAAGAAAGGAGACAGAGAACTGACCATATTTGGCAAGACTATGTTCATCAGTGACCTTGAGAAGAATGTTCACTGTGGAATGGGGAAAAGACTGACCAGAGTGTATTACAGTCAGATTAGAGATGCTTCCACTTCCAGTAAAGGCAGACTGGGAAATGCAGAATAGCTCACCCCCTGAAGACTACCAGAAATGCTGGCCAATATAAGAAAAGTCTGCTTGAAGGCACCGTCAAGCCTACAAGGCAGTGAGGAACGGCCTATTCAATCGAGAGAGGTAAGCCCAGCACATGAAGCAGCTTTTGCCCCGGTTGTATTTGCTGATCCTGAAGAGGCTGGAAGTTTATCTACATTTTTCACAGCTTCTCAGAGTTAGGGGGATAAAAATTGGAGTTTAAAGGACTTGTGAAGACTGGGGCAGGGATTGTAGTGATGTATCTATAAGCCAAGGAAAGCCAAAGGTCACTAGCAGCCACTAGATGCTAAGAGAAAGGCATGGTACAGATTCTCCCTCAGACCTCCAGAAGGAACTAACCTGGCCAGCACCTTGATTTTGAACTTCTGACTTCCAGAACTATAGGAGAACAGATTTTTGTTGCTTTAGGCCACTGTGCTTATGACAATTTGTTGTAGCAGCCACAAGAAATGAATATGCTGCCCAACCTCATCAAATCCCAGTATTCTTCTTTGAAAATTCCCTGATTCATCTCATAGTTCAGTTCCTCCCTACCCCTAAAGATCCACTGGCCTTCTATTTGCTGCTCCTAAATTAAATAGAAAAAATTGTTTGCAACCTGAAAAAAAAAAATAGTTTAAAGTCCACCTTGAATACAGCCTGGAAGATCCGTAAAGCATTGATTTGGCACACCAAATGACTGCACCCAGGGAGTAAGGATGAACCAGAAGTAACCAGCACCCCACCATCCCCTCCTGCCCAGCTTTGATTGCACTCACTTAAGGATGCAGGTGTGGCCCAGAAAATCTCATTAGCTAATTTTGGATTAAAGTGTTCCTAGGTTATTATTCCTTCTGGGTGACTAGAAAAATCAAACAAAATCCAAGAGAGTCGTGCAAACAAAAATATAAAACAACATAAACAGAAAAAAACAAATGGACTCACAAAGGCTCAGATATAACTATGCTTACTTTGTTTAAGAAGACATAAGACTTCGCGACCCGCCTGGGCAACTTGGCAAGACCTCATCTCTACAATAAATAAAAAAATTAGCCGGGCATGGTAGCGCGTGCCTGTAGTTCCAGCTACTTGAAAGCCTGAGGCAGAAGGATCACCGGAGCCTAGCAGGTTGAGGCTGCGGTGGCCGGGAGCGTGCCACTGCACTCCAGTCTAGGCGACAGAGTGAGATTCCAACTCAAAAAACAA